ACAGATGGATATTATACTGCTACCAGAGCCTACATTTGAATTTTCTTTTCTTTTTTTTTTTTTTTTTTACAGCCATATCATGCTGCTGGTTCATGTTAACCTTCTTTTTCCACAAAAACTGCCACCATACAAAGTCACCTCCTGCCTTCCACCCCAATGAATTATGATGCATTTACTGCCATAAAATATCTTTTTGGTTTTGGCACAGTATTGCAGCCTATTTAAACTATGTTAACTCAAGAATTCTCTATTTTGAAGTCATCCATGAATTTAATAGCAAGTCTAGATCTCAGAGTCATTCATAAAAATACTGAATAAGAGAAGGCCAAAAGTAAAGGCTTATGACCCTCCCCCAGGGACCACTTTCAGACCCAAACTCAGTGACCCATACACCTTGGCGGGCGGGTGCTAGCTCAGCCAGCCTCACAGTCACACAGCAGTCGTGCTAAAGTCTCCACACACAAGTCTCCAGCATCCTTGGCAAATGTTCCCCTGAAAGCAAGATTCACTTATCTTTCAAAGCAAAGTGTAAAATATCTACACATATTAAACTTAGAGCTATGTGAATATATGTAGACACATGAAAAAGAGACTAAGAGAGACAAGCAGCAGTGGAAAATGCTCTCTGGATTGTCAGACTGTCGAGATTCTTTTTTCTTTATTAATACTGTTTTTAATATACTTAAAAATTTTAAAACACTAGAAATTTTGCTTTGACAGAATTTTGCTTGGAAGCAGTTCATGTGAAGTAGCCAGAAGAACATCAAGACTCTGATTGTACCAACCTGAAAATCCCAACTAGAAAAATTTCATTAGAAAAGACCTGTTGAAAGAAAGACCTGTTGATCCCTAGTGAAAACCGGTTTATTTATTTATTTATTTAAGTTTTCATTGCTTTTTTAAGCTTCTTATTTCTGCAAACCGGGGGAGATAGCAGAGTGAAGAACTAGGTACTAATGTTTAGAAAAAGCCAGGATGTTGTGAGTGTGTGTGTGTGTGTCCCCATCCTTGTCTGTCCGTCTGCCGTCTGTCTCTGTTGAAGAGGTTAGGAAAAAACGGAAAGAAAAAAGTCACCATGTCAGTACCTCTGTGACACTCCGGACTGAAATGGAGCAAAGTGTAAAGGGGCTTTTTCCCTCTAACCCAAGAATCTGAACCAGGCACATAAACTCAGAAAAGCTACTCACCTAGAATGGCTTTTACCTAAGAGTAGGTGAGAGTAGGAAAGAAGATCAGTGACAGGATTTGCATTTTGGTGTCTGGAACAAGGAATATGTAAGAGTAAGTTGTAAGAAATGGGGTCAGGGAAAGGAAGTACGGACAGTAAGTGAAAAAGAAATAAAAATCAAAGTGGCTAATTATTTGGGAGAAAATGCATTTAATGGAATACCAAATATTCTGAATATGTGACTTGAGAATTTCTACTAAATCAGGTATTTTTTCAGCATTCTGTTTATAGGATTTTCATCAGAAATAAAACTAATGTTAAAAACTAGATGCATGTTATCTTTCCCAATCTATCATTGGTTTTCTCTGGTGCTAGCTTGCTATTTTCAACGGCTGTGAGACAAGTGAAAATTCCATCTTGCTTAAAAATGCAATTGTCCACCTCACTAGAAGTTAAGCTAAATACGATGTAAATCAACAGTTTTTAGATTAAAGACATACAGTTAAAAAACGGATAAAAAGAGCATATGTAAAGTCCAGTTACTGTTTGACAACTGAAAATTCTACTTTGCTTACAAATATATTTTCCCTATCATACAAGAATTTAAGCCAAATGCATACAGTAAATCAGTAGCTTCGTAGACCCATTCAAATTGTCATTAAAAAATGGAAAAAAATGTCCAAATAGAAAGGCCAGTTATTATTTGACAAGTGAATATTCCATTTTATTTAGAAATATAATTTTTCCACCATCCTACAAGTTAATCTAGGTATGAGGCAAACCAATAGTTTCAAAGAGATGCATGGCATATTGTCGTCAAATAGGTAAAATGTCCAAAGAGAATGACTATTATTATTTGGCAGGTGAAAATCCCACTTTGCTTAGAAATGCAATTAATTTTCCTATCAAACTAAAAGTTAAGCTAAATAC